GTCCTTTAATTGGAAAAAACTCCCCTGCGCCCCTCGGGCACGGAAAAAGGAGGTGTGACAAGCCCTACTACAAATGCATATAAAACTTTTCTAAGGAAAGTCTCCATAGTTCTAGAATATTCCACTAAGATCTTTTCCCTAACTTATGTAGTCCTTCCATATGGCAAAAATATATGCCAAGTGACACCTACGTGACATAATGATGTGGCGGGTCATGACACTCTCCCCCACCCAATTTTGTGCCACCCATGGCACAAATCATCGACACATATGCGCGCACCTCGCCTTGGCATCACCAAAGATCTTTGTCCATTAGCCATGATGCCCTATGAAGCGGTTCTCCTTCCCATTTCAAAAGGTACTAGCTACCTTTCTTCTTACGCCGTTTGTACTTTGGACGGCTAGCAATGATGACTTCCATCCTCCGCCCAGCGGATGCCCCTTGCTCTTGACCTGAATCTTCCCATGACTCAACCAAGTCTAGCAGCTTCTCAAGCATCGAGTCCATGCTTCTACTCCCTATTTGGCTGCCCTTCGTGGTCCAGCCTTAATGGCAAACTTGAACCCTCTGCTTGGTGCATCGTCTAAGTTCGATAGCATGCCATCACTTTATAGCTCGTCATCCTCTTCAACTATGTCCGTCCAACTTTTCTTGCTGCCACCATGCTCCATTTGCATGGTGCCAAGATAGGCTTTGGAATCCCCTACTTTGGGCTTAGATTCCAAGCACATCCCTCTAATACAGGCGGTTCCCCCGGTGTCATCTTTATGTGCTTGAGTAAAGTTCCCTATCATTGCTGCAAGCTTCCCCAACTCTAAGCATTCACTTGCCCGATGTGATCCTTCACAGAAGTAGCTCCCTCCTTTAGGCATGTACTCCCTACCATTTTTCGGCCCCTTACCGTTTCTCTTGGACCCTTGTCCGTTATGGGATGACCCCTTGCGGTTACCCTTGTATACCTCGGCTATGCATTTCTCGTTGTCCTCATCATGATCTCCCTCATCCCTCTCGGCGTTGCCTTCTTTGGACTTGGCAGGCTCCATTTTGAAGTCAACAAATGACTAAGTACTCCGATGGCCCCGTTCACGTTGGCTATTTGATGTCTTCTTAACTTATGCTTTGCCCAATTTCGCAACCCATCCATGAAGTAGAAGAGGAAATCTTCCTCGGACAATGACGAGATTTGCAACATTAAGGTAGTGAACTCGCGTACATACTCCCGAGTTGTGGCCTATGTCGGAGCTCCCTTAACTTCCGCCAGTCTGCCCCCTCGCGTGCAGCCTGTGCACCAGAGGCGTATCCAGGATTTTAATAACATGGGTGCACCATTATCTTTAAGACAAATGTTTGATTCGATTATATAAAATTTGTGGTGATAACGAGTTGACGAGCAAACTATATTAATATATTTTTTTTAATCCAATAAAGATTCAAGGTTGAACTATTGGAAATTACAAGCAGTGACATAAATATTTTAGATAAGCAGAAAAACAAACAAACTCCAAATAAACTTGTCTGGAAACTATACAATGAAATGTTCTTGATACCCAATACAGGAAAAGAAAAGCAACATACCCATTAATCTATACAATGAAATGTTCTTGATACCCAATACAGGAAAAGAAAAGCAACATACCCATTAATCTATACAATGAAATGTTCTTGATACCCAATGAAATGTTCACAATATAGTTTTTTCCTATGGATTTCAATCTTTGACTCAGCTAAGCATTTTCCCAAACATAATATGTGCACAAATTCTATAAACTATCAAAATTCAAGACCTTCAAGCCCTAGCTCTCCCAAATTCGCACTAGAAATAGCAACAACTTCTCATTTCAGAAATAAATATCAGAATCACCATCAAGGCATCAACAAGAAAAAATCTCGGCAAGAGATTCAAACATTGAGCACTGAGTGTCTGAGCAGAATGGGAAAAGAGAGAACAGGGAATAGCAAGAGGAGAAGAAAGCTGCAGCGAGTGAATTAAAATACAGAGCAAGGAGAGAGAGTAGTTACATACCTGAGAATTTTAAAGGAACATGGAGAAGAAATTGTTGCCTTCTTGTCTTCTTGAAGAATCCAGTATTCTAGCCGATAGAGAGAGAGAGAGTTGAGAGGGAGAGACGGTGTATTTTATTTTTAGGAATTTGATTATTGATTGTATATACCCAAATTCCCCATAAAAGATGTGGGCTATGTTTTTAGCCAATAGGAACTTAAAAAAAAAATATAATTACAAAAAAAAAGAAGGTGTAACTGACAGGGATTGAACCCTTTACCTGAGGGACAACACAGTTATGCAGGGGCACCAGCTTACCAATGCACCAAGGTAGTCATTTGAGCATGAGTGGTCACAAACATATTTATATAGAAAAAATTTAAAATTGGTACTGTTTATACATAGGCTAGGGAGGGAAGCATGGGTGCACGTACCCCACCCCCCTCCACATAAATCCGCCTCTGTGGGAAAAGATTGAAAGGGGATGAGGCCATAGGAACTATCCTAGAGCACTTAAGGGATATATTAAGCTTGAATAGTAGAAAAGATTATGTGGATTTCTACCATTTCAGTAGCTGGTGTGGTTACTCATTTTATGACGTGGATTTTGGACGGGGAAAGCCAATTATGTTTAGTACAATCGAAGGAAAATTCAAGAACATGATAATGTTAATAGATACAAAGGATGGTGGAGTGGAAGTTCGGGTTACTTTGAGTGAAGAAGATATGAAAATGTTTGAGAAAAACACAGAGCTGCTAACTTATGCAACTCTCAAGGCTAGCTTCCCTATCAAAGAATGACACAAGATTAAACAAGTTGAGAATAAGGTTCTTGTTTTGTATTAATAAGAGCAAATCTTCGATCGTTCTTAAGGGATAGCTCCTCCCAAATTGTTCAAGATAAGTTAAAGTTTGAGTGCTTTTAATTTCTTGAATGAAGTGTGAAATTTTCTGATTTCCTTTTTAGAATTGTTTTTTTCAATTAAGATAAAGTCCTTTCATGTTTACTGAGTATATTCTCTCCTCCTGACATCTATTGACTCAATTAAATCCATTTAGTCCTTTTGCCAAAGGACTGAGAAAACTAAAGCATGACAACCGTCTTTGTCCTAAGAGATCAGTTGACCCTGATCAAGATTCTAAAATGGCACCAGACAATATTTTCCCATAGTATCAAACAGAACCTTTGGCTTTAACCCAAACAAATACAGACATGTTATCACCAGGTAACAATCCCAGGAAAACGTGGCATTCAAATGACAAACAATTTCAGCACCTTTACCCTGAGGTTGTTTATCAGCAAAAAATTGTTTCTGTTTGTAAGAACCTAGTTTCGAAACAACTAAACCAACAACAATCACATTAGTTTGTTTACCATGAAAATTCCATTAATTTCATAGTAAAATAGCCATGCACAATGCAGAATTGCGATTACTATCTAGCTTCATTATATCCTACAAAGAATAAACCTAGCATTGACAACATTGAGAAAAAGGTATAGGATAATATAATCTGAAATACTATCTACGTCTGCTAGACATGATGGATTTGACTAAGTTCAATATCCTAACATAGTAAAAAAATAGAGAAGACTCTGTACCTTCAAGCCCATCCCTGCTCACCCTATTACCACCTGCAAGATTGTTGCACGGGCTTCCACCGATTACTAGATCAAATTCTCCAAAGGAATCCATCAGTTTCTCCAAGCAGTCTCGGGTCAGCTCCTTCACATCCTCAAATTCTTCAAGCTTCCCCTGCTGAGCTGTTTGATCCCACCAGCTTCTCAAAATAACCCTGTTGACTTCAGATTTTTCAACTGAAACAACATTCTTCATTCGAATCCCGAGACGGTCAAGAGCAACTTCGGCACCGCCAATTCCAGAGAAAAGCGATAATACATTGATACCAGCTGGAAACTTATCTTTCAACACCGATAAGTGATACGCCACTGTGTCGACCTAATAGAAATATCGATCCAAGTACCATGTTAAAGATTATTCTAACAAGAAAAAAAATTCAATAAGCCAATGGAAGAGCTATATTTTTGCAAAATAAGACTGGATATATACAGTGAAAATCAGAAGAAAGAATGTTAGGCTAACCTGGAACGAGTTACCAAGGGATTTGTATCTATCAGTCCTACTTATACCCCTAGTATGGTTCTTTGGAAACCCCAATAGCATTTCAACTTCATCAGGCTCCAAAGGAGCAACTTTGTTTCTTCCAACCCACACCAAATTCCACTTTTTGCATTCTGCAAGAACATACTTTTGCACTTCCATAGGTGGCTCACCAACATATTTCTCCAAAACTTTCCTGATCCTGTCCGTCAATTTTGCACTCCCAATGGCTGTTAGCAAACAATTTAGCTTTGTCCGTTTATCCCAAGATGGCCACCATTTCTTTGTTAAGGGAAGTGCCTCATGAATGGTACTTGGGGGAAGTGGACACAAAGGAAATCTTTTTTCAACTGGAAGATTATGAATATATCCCCTTTTCCTTGCAGCAGCGCAAAAGTATATTGAGTCGACAAACTCAGGCAAAACATCGAACAAGTGTCTGGAAATGGTGTTCCACACGTCCTTTGGAGCTTGAGCAACATTTTCATAGTAAAGGGGGGCCGACAGCTTGCTTCGAAAGATTTCTTTGGACAATTGTGGGAAGAGATACTGTAGGAACTCCAAATCCAATCATGGGTTTGGGCAAACGAATTGTCCCTTCATCAAGAATCGCCCTATGCTTTTTCCTTTTGCACAACTCATTGTACATCTTCCTCTTGTATCCACCACTATCATTCGATATGTGCTTCAGTTTTGGCTGTCACAATGGAAGGGAGGCATCAATTCTATGAAAAATGGTGTTGCTAATTTGCAGTTATATATGCGAACAAATTTGAACAAACTGTTAGCTCACACGAGTCAATTAAAATACTGCGGGGAAAGCGTACCTTCACATCTTCTGGCAGATAGGCATCTTCTGCTCTTGACATTTGAGCAGTACTGATGAAATCTATCAATACGTCAAGCGTTGCTTCTGGACCTAGAAAGTTGTGAAGAGTACATTAATTACCTGGAAAGAACAACTACTCCTATATAACAACTATTACCACCACCACTACTAAACAGCAACTAACCCACTACTACTACTGAACTTCAATCCCAAGTTAATTTGGGTTGGCTACATCATTTTTATTCAATTGATCCACTATATAACTTGCATGAATAAGATTTCTTCAGCAAGTGATAAAACCTTGGCATATTTATGACATATCAAAAGCCAAACTAAATGTCTAACGATAAAAGATTTAGACAGCATTAGTAATGTAGAAGACAAAATACAATTTCATACACGCACCAGATCTCTCCATTGCTATGGAAGCCTCTTCCACTGAATATCCCATATTTGCCAGGTATAATAATGTCTGCTCTTTTTCAGACAAAGAACTGCACTCGCCATTCAAGTAGCACCGTTTAGCAGAATTCTGTCAGACGTTGCAAAAGGAAAATGTTAGAAAACCCTTATATAATTGTGCCCAAGAAATTTATAACGGTTGCGGAAGTCAAATGTATATAGTGTGAATAAGTCACAACTACTATACCAAAAATTATGACA